AATTTGACTTTATTGAGGAAGCAAAATCTTAAATGACTTTATTGAGAAAGCCTGACCTCAAATGAATTTATTAAGAAAGTCTGACCTCTTGCACATCGTGCTTTCTTCCAAATAATTCTTCCGATAATTTTATTCATCTCCATGGAAGTTTAAATAGATAATTATATACTCTAAAATAAGGAACAACTTCTACCACTGACAATCTCACTACTAATTAAAAAACCACTGGATCATATCCACTAACAACCGGCCATAACTTAGTCAGCCACAACTCTTTATTAAAGTAACAAAAATAATAAATTTCTAAAAAATAACCAACCACTACTTAAATGACCCAATAATTTAGAAAATAATAAAATAACCGTAACGATTAATTATTCATTTATTTTTTAACTTTACCTTTTATTCTTCAATAACCACGATGGGTTATTAAATATTTGTGAGTTGTGACAATTTCATACAAAAAAAAAAAATATGTTGAGATATAAAGGCCACATTAGTTTTTATTTTTAACAATTTAATATATAAAAGTGATTTTTTTTTTAAACTGTTCAATCAAAACATATATCTTAAAAGCACTTTTTAGTTAACACATGAAACTAATTCTATCAATTTTTTAAAAAAAAGGAGACGGATATACTTATTACCAAAAAAGTTTATCACTCTTACAATCAATTTAATCACCGTTGATTTTTGCTAATCTAACGATTATTATTTATTGGAAATTAATAATTAATTAATAAGTGTGATTCAATAAATGTTATTAATTATTAATTAATAAGTGTAACTCATTAAATGTTATTATTTCCTAATAAATTATAAACTTTGGATTGGCGAAAATCAACTGTGATTAAATTAGTTATAAGAGTGATAAACTTTTCTGGTGGTAATTGTATCTGTTCCCTTTAAAAAATTGATTATTGGATCATCTTTCTTCAAAGTTATTAAGAATACAAGAATATTCATATACTTTGGTTGTTATGATTAATTAATTTATTATTGGGAACAATGAGCATATTTGGTTTAATTTTAGTCCAATTTAGCATACTCGGTCCTCTTCCCATGTCTTTTTCGTTGAATAATCAAGATCCATTATTTTTATTTTTATTTTTTCTGCGGGGAGTTGTGTAAGATCTGTCAGTTTTGGACCACATATCTAAATAAATTGAAGTTAATTTCTAAATGCATACAACTTGAATGGAAAAGATTTTATAATTAAATCAATGTTTATTCAATAATCTTTTAGGCAAAGAATTTCATTTATAAATAAAATCCACTCCTAAGAATTATTGGTTCAAAACTCACTCTAAAAGATAATACAGTGCCATGGAATAATTTTTTTTTTTTGAAAAAACACTAATCTTAACTTACACCAGCAAAATATCCAGAGTTGAATTGGTTAGAAGTTGAAGATGAAACAACATTAATTAGGCAAGGTAGGATAGGGAAAAATCTACAATACTGAATTCAGTTGCATCTTTAGTTTATTTTTACTATGATAAAAAATAGGCGGATTCTGAGATCCTAAAATTTGCGCAGGATCCATTTACATATCCTAATAAAAATGAATAGGAAAAGAATTTTCATGTTATAAGAAAATTCTTTTTTCTATTAGTGATACATCGAAATGTGCGCAACAACTTTTTTATTTTTGTTTTTTAATAGGAGGTGGGACCATCACATTTTGTGTCTATAGTAGAAGAAAGAATTCTCTTATAACATGAGAAAAGGGAGACCCAAAAATGAATTACAGATGCACTAAACTTCAATGCATCATTTGCACTGAAGTTTTGTTCATAGGATAGAGACTAGAGAGCATAACATTGTTTATCTTATCCACAAATAATGTAATAGGATTTTTTTGTTGGAGTTTATATTTCTGCAGCTGTTATACATGCAAGTTGAATAAATCTTTGGTGTTATTGTTGCACCAAATATTCAGTACATCTCACCAATAGAAATATTACTTGTCAGTTAAAGTTTCTTTTCTCTGTCAAATTTTTTCTCTCTCCTATGATGTGTAATACTCTCATTGATGAGATGATTGGATCTCGGTGCAACATGCAGTAGTACCAAAGATTTATTCGTTCAAGTTGCAACAATCAAATACTTGTCATATATATACGTAAAAGCACTAAACATGGAAAATTATAACAATATAAAAGATGAAAGCATTAAATGTAGAGAATCATAACCATACACGTATCATTACTACACGTAAAGTGGTTGTAAAAATAATTTTACCTTTTTTTTTCTCCATGAACGTGACATAAGTATATTGCCATTAACTCCAAATTTTACATTGTTTTGAGTGTTGGAGAAATTATTGAAGGGTAAATATATTGATAACTTTATATTCTATTGATGAAAAAATAATAATCCCAATGTAATATATTCTTTAAGGCTTAATTTTAGGAGAAACACAAAAAAACAACAAACCCTGAAACTGATTATCTTACCCACTAACAAAAGAACACAAAGATATTTTCTATCTTCTGATTTCTCTCAACTTTAGACTTAACAGTTATATATTTGTTCTATTCTTCAGCAGCCTTCTTGTTTTAGACGAGAAATTGGACCACGGAAAATGCCAATTTCTCTACCCTCTTCCTACAATTACAATTTACAACTAGTCTCGGAAAAACAGCAATTCTTCCGAGGTCCTTATTACATGCATTTAGGTCACTCTTATTTCTAGAACACAGAATCAGGACAACTACCATCAATTACTTTGACCAAAAAGACTTAGGATAACTACCATCAATTAAAAAATTACTAAAATAGTATAATTTGAAAATCAATTATCAAAATCATATAATTCCATTATTTATCACTTGAACTCCACAAACAAGACACGTGTGATATTTATGGGGTCCGTATGTTCGAAAATGGTTAAATTATATTATTATAATAAATAATTTTTAAATTATTATATTTTAATAATGTTTTTAACTGTATCTTATCAATCAGCTTAACTACACATGTAGACTTCTTTTATGCATAAGATTTCAGAAATTAGAAAGCATCCTTTTATTTAAGTTTAAAATGAAAATTAGTGTCCGAAAGCATTCCCAGATTTCTTAGCATTTTATCAAGTAGCCTTATTAGAGCCAATCAGCTTATAGCTCAAATAACCTTGTGCGATGTTGACGTAACAAGTTTAATTTTATACGATACAGGCCACCTTCTTTTTCTCTTAAGTGCTTGCCCCTTTAATATTAAAGTGAGATCATAAAATCAATAATTATTAGCTCAAATAATAAAGAGTTTATTCCTCTTAATCATTATGAATCGTAAACTCAAGTACTCAACTCATAGCTATAAATATTTAGTTGTGAACTGTTTTTATTTCATCAATTTCAATCATAAAGCTAACAGACTGAAAATTATTTTATATTCTTGTTAAGCTTTGGAGTCAAATGAAGATAGCAGTAGATCAAGCTAAATTGTAAGAGATATGTAGTTTTAAAGTTGGTGTCTAAAGATTCAATTTGAACAGTAAGAGCAAGTACACCTTGGATTATGTGCATACCATTATGAGCCAGGTGAAGAGCTCAATTGCCACCATAGGAGCACTCATCTTTTCTCAGGTAGGAGTAAAGTATGAAATCAGTTCGGTTTTTATAATGGATCGACCATGTTACAGAACCGGTGTGACCCGGAGCGACCCGACTAGTTTTCGTAAAAACCGATGACCCGGTCGGTTCAACCAGTGACTCGGCTCGGTCTATAAAAAAAAATTTAATTCATTTTCATAAATTAATGTCCTTTTTTTTTTACTCTCAAACACAAATGATTTATATTCTTTTGAAATATTTGACTGATTTGTAGCTTATTAACTTACATAGATTATGTACCTACAACACTAATATTATCTTGATTATGCAATATGCAAGGAATTTTGATTTGATTTATAGTTAGAGATGTCGTTTACTGAACCTGAAACACTAATATCACAAATATTATATGTTTGATTGATCTTTTGTTGGACAATGATGTGTAATTTATTATTTTCATTTTAAAATATTTGAAATTAGTATATTTTTTACAAGTTTTTAAGTATATTTATAGTTTTTTTAATATAAATAGTAGATTTGTATATACTTACCGGGTCATGCGATTAAACCAATGACCCACTGATCTAATTCCTCCACCGAATCAATCACCAAGTCGGGTTTAATAACATTATTCTAAACACATTAGTAGACTCTCATGTGGGGCTAATGGTTCATAAGATAAAAGAAAGGAAGTAATCCCTCTTTTTTGTTGTGATGGAGGCTGCAAGTGGAGCAGACATCAATTTCTCGTGCAGCAATTTTCAGTCACTGTAACAAACAGACGCAGCCATTACAAGTTACCGACGCTATTTCACTTTAGGGAATTGTTTTTATTATGTTACATAACTTAAATGACTACATACACAAAATTTATATGAGATCCACTTTAAATTTTTTCTTTTTTTCCTATTCTCTCTCCCCTCTCCTCCTTTTGTGAGAGTAGAAAATTTACTTTTAGGTTATGTTACATAACAAAAGCAATTCCCTTCATTTTATTGCAATTGAGTTTACTAGAAAATGTTACAACAAGCAAAATTTATAGGGTCATTTTTTTCTGCGGTCACTCCACAGAATTTTTTGTAGCAGACACAAAAAGTGGAAATCACTCATTTAAAAACAAAAAAAAAATAAGATCCATCAATATATCATGACTTTCTATGTATTATTGCAGAAGTTTTTTTCTTACAATAACAGAGCTATATTTCCCAAATTTATAACGTGTTTAACAGGTACAAAAGGGGTCTATTTACATCCTTGTTGGTAACACCAAAATTAATCGTTGTCTTTACAATGTATAATTGTAGATACTAGAAAGTATTCTTTGACCTGTGTACCATTGTAAAAAATAAGGCACTAGACTCCGGCACAATGTAGTTTTTTTTTCTTTTTCTTCAAAAGAAATAATAAGCTAAAATTTTCTGACAATGAAAGTAAAAGGCCTCATTGGATACAAATTCCTTTTTGACTCTATGTAATCTTTTTAAGCATTCACAAATTAATGAATAATCATGGGCTCAAACCCATAGAAACATCATTTGCAAAATAGGCTAAGGAGCAAGGATTTGACATATAAATGACTCCAATACCTGTATTGACTTGCTAGCACATTCATTATATACACACCCTTTTTTTTTCCCACCATGAAAGAAAAATGAAAAAAAAAAAAAAAATCCATAAAAAATCTCACTCTCTCTCTTTCTCTTTTTCCCCCATCTTGAAACTATATGTCAAAAAGGGCTCAACACTAACGTTGTCTCGGGTTTGAACTACGGATAGTCACACCATGCAAAAATTTTGTATATCCAAGTAAACTAAGCTTTCCATCAGTATTTCGTATCCAATCTCTGAGAATTGAAAAAGCTGAAGGACCAAGATTCAACTCCTGTGTCCACAAAGAGAAAATTTTATTGAAACATAGATAAGCATAGTTAAAATTACATGTCAAGTTCATACGTTGAAGAATGGATTATGTACTAGAAAAAGAAAACAATATAGCACTCACTCTTGCTAATTCTTCAACCGATATCAGACGGTTGCCCTCTCTCTCAAAATGTTCAAAAGCAGTGGAAGCAATATCTTCCCACCTATCAAGTGCCTCCAATTGATATGTGCTAATTGCAGCTGCACAAAATTCTTCAAAGTCCATCTTTCTATAGGCAAGTGGTTCCATCTATAAAAATATTCCAGCAGGAAAATAAAAGGTATTTTGGTCAAAGTAGGGAACTATTATGAACTATAGCATTCAATAAATAGAACTCTAGTGGATATAATGTACTTGATACAAAAACAATTCTAATGCAGAAATCATACCCCCATTCCAAGGAGCATTTACCATGTAAAAACAATTTGCACATGAATATAACTAAGCACTTAACAGTCTAGCTGTCAAATACCCAACACTAGGGTCAAATTTTCAAAAACTGTACATGTAGAAACTTACAAACAATAAAGCAAATGCAATGGTAGATCACCAATCCAACATGCCATGTATATTTTTTTTCCAGAAAATTTCCTGAAATATAGCAAGACTCCTACCGCTTGGGTCAAATTTAAAAAATGCATAGCTAGGTGCTTATCTAGAAAACAAAGCAAATGCAATGGCAAGTCAGGATACAAAAAGCCAAAGATATTTCCCAATACATTTAAGAATAATGCCTCACCGCATGTATGATATCAAGAACCCTTGACTCCCCCATGGCATCAGTTGCATGGCGTGCAAGAGCCTGCAAAGTTCGCTTTCAGTAAAGAAATAAAAGGGAGGGAGCAATGACAAATCAAAACCCTTCAAAGCAGGAAAATGACACTTATATTCACACAGATATGAACAGGAAAAAAAAAAAATAATAACTATTACAAATGAGCAAGTTGTGCAGGTGAAAATGAATGTCCTCTACCCCCCCCCCCCCCCCCCCATCTTTTTTTCTTCACACACAAAGAAAAACTTCACTTTTTCAACTATATCAAAACAAAGGGTATTTATTAGTGAAGCAGTAGATACCATTTTGAAATTGTCAAGGGAGATGTGCCCCTCTCTATTTGGTTCCAACAATCTGAATTGAGCTCTAAGATAGGGCAATTCATCCTCTGTCAAGGCTTTTGAAAGGGCCTAGATAGAAGAAGCCATAAAGATGAGTTAGAATCCAGCACAAAAAAAGATCTTCAATAGACAATCCTCTAATTTCAGAACGGGTAGAAAGAATGTACAAAAAAGAGTTTCTTAAAAAGAAATCCATTCAAGAAATTTTATGTTTTAACACTCATATTCACGATAGCCCTTTAACAGCACACATTTTCTTCTTTTCTATTTAAAAGAAATATATTAAAGACGCTCAAAGCACACACCATGATGAATCTATTCCTAGTTAATAGAGAGAAAAAAATCATGACGAAAGAAGAAGCGTTTGATATAAAATGGGAAAGGAGGAATAATTAAATAGTAAAAATATGCAAGAAAAATGCATATATTCAGTGCAGCCATGTGCGAGAGATAGTAGTAAGAAATCAAAAGATTATGGAAGACATTAAATGTTAAACTCAGCGTACTAATACCTTCACAGCTGCACGTTTGAATGGTGTCGCATGAAGATAAGCCTTCACTAGTTTATAAACTAAAATATCCAAAGGGATGGCACGGCTGTCATCCCGCAACCAAGGGTGAGCTGCAGTTAAGGAAGCATGCATGAATTAGTATTATAAATTCAATTTACAAAAACATTGTCACTGCTCACTACCATTATTAATAGGAAAAAGCAATTGTGCTCCGGCCAAGGTAGGAAGTATAATGTGACTCCAGGATGAAACAAAAACTACAGAGATTAGATAGGCAACTCCACATGAAGTGAGTTATCATTTGGTGCCTATCATAACATAATCTCCACTTTTTATATGGTAGATATACTGGGAAGAGAATGATGATTTTTTTTTACCTTAACAGGAATTCTTTTTACCTCCTGTTCAGGCAGGATGGTCAGGTGAGATTCCACAATCAACAAGATGAATGTATTTGTTCAATTTTCAATACTTATGCCCAACGGCGGACGTGTATATGTGCAAGTGTGTGCAAGTGCACACACAATTTTTTTGGAAAAAAAAAAGAATAAATATATTTTGGATTATTAATAAAATTACGGGACCCAATTTAATCCCTTAAAAAAAAGTCATCTTGTGATCTCTCTAAATTTCAAAATAGATCCATGTTAGTCCTTTTGAGAGATTAATGTGGATCTTTTCAAATTTCAGCGGGACCACAATTTTGATTATCTGGGTCTACTTTTGAATTCTGATGGACCACGAGTTGACTTTTTTTCTAAGGGATTAAATTGGGGTCCGTAATTTTTGTTGAGGACCCAAAATGTTCTATTGTAATAGTTTAGTTGACTCTTGATTATTTTTTTTATGTTAAGTTAAAGTTTTCTTTTCTTTTTCTGTTTATATTTTTTCTTATTTTAATATATTTAAAAAAAATTCCTCTATTCTTTTATTCTAAATGTGCAGACATATATGAAAAAATTTAGGTCCGCCACTGCTTATGCCCAAATGTTATTCTTTGATGAGTCAGTTGATAAGATAAGAATCTCATGAAGATTAAAAAGGGAAAATTAAACAGCATCTAACACCTTCATATACACAGTTAAACTGATATGACAACTTACTTAGAGCTTGGACAGCAGTCATTCTTTTCCTGTAGTCCTTGTTTAGGAGCCTTTTAACGAAGTCCTTGGCCTCTGCAGAGGCACAAGGCCAAGGTAAATCATCAAAGTTAGGATCAGCTCTGAGCACTGCACGAAAAATTCCAGATTCCGTTCGTGCCCAGAAAGGTCGACTTCCACATAGCAAGATATAGGTAATGACACCAATACTCCATATATCAGCTTCCATACTATATGATCTGTGAAGGACCTCAGGTGCAACATAATATGCACTCCCCACAATGTCATTCAGCCGTTCATCTGTGTATCAACACGTGTGAAGGGAGCAATTAAGAGGCATGAGAAACATCCTTCCAAGCATGAATGAAAGCAGCAGTCTTGAGTAATGACTACAGAGGACATACTACTGAGACAGAAATACTAGATACCAAGCACTATCTGATGTCACATATCATTCAGTGTTTCCTTCTATTCATAATGACATAATATGTATGGATCTAAAATGTGAAGCATTCATAGAAATTGAAACCAAGCTGATCTCATCAATCTTTATTGTTGGTATTAAAATGTTTCAGAGTTGTGGATGGATGCAGAATAGAACCCAGCCAAAAGACACTGAAAATGATGAGACGTAAAATCCCATGTAAATTTTCAAGATGCAGCCAAAATTTATAAGAATAAAATAACATGGCTAAATCCATTATCACTCAAAACCCCACTAGCACCAACAGTCAACACGAAGTCACTTAAGAGCATTATGCAACAATGAAGTGCGTATTTAGTAGCAACCTGTCTATTTAATATATTAGAAGAATTAAAGAGATTGTTTTGCAAGGAAAAGGAAAATGGAAATTGAGAATAAATCTAATTATTACCCGGCCGAATGAAGTCAGATAGACCAAAATCAATAAGCTTCATGTCAGCATCTTCACTTTTTGAAGTGAAGAGGAAATTCTGTAAAAGCAAACTAGGACAGAGAATTAGCAACACTATTGACATTCTTATTCTTATATAATTAAGCCTCGTGATATCAAAAGCAGAACTGGATGTTAACATTAAAAATTACTACAGGGACTGTTAAGAACCTTGGGATACACCACCCCAAAAGTTAGCTCAAGGGGTGGGAGTGCCTAAGGCCTTATAAAGGCCATATTAGTTGCCCAACCAATCAATGTGAGACTATATATCTCAACACGCCCCCTCACACAAGAGCCCTTTAGGCTAGAAGCGTGAAACTTGCACAGGCCCATTTTTGGTTTACCTTTTTGTGCTTTTTTTTTATTTTAATTCCACTTTTTAAAGCGGGGGACGGTGAGGCTCTGATACCATGTTAAGAACCTTGGGATACACCACCCCAAAAGCTAGCTCAAGGGGTGGGAGTGCCCAAGGCCTTATAAAGGTCATATTAGTTGCCCATCCAATCAATGTGGGACTATATATCTCAACAGGGACAAAGATTTAAAGCACAAACCTCAGGTTTCAGGTCACGGTGAACAACACCTTGAAGATGACAAAAAGCAACTACGCTTAGAATCTGCAAAACTATAACCTTAGCATCCTCCTCTGTATACTTCCCTCCCCTGGTTTAGAAGTGAAAATTATTTAATTAAGTTATATGACTATATAAAGTTGAAAATCTCTGATGTAACCAAAAAAAAAACTAACCTTGACAAAATTCTGTCAAGAAGCTCCCCACCTTCACACAATCTGATAAGAAAGCAAAATCCTGGAAAGGTCACTGTATGATGATGCTACAATTCAAAAATGCATGTTCCCACAATTTAACTACAACGTAGCAAATATTCACCGACAAAATATATGCTAAGCAGAAACTTAGAAGTTAAAAGCATTTTATCATGTAGATGTGGTTAAACTCGTTTGAACCTTCTAACGGGGAAAAGGCAAGAAAGAGAAGAGAACCAAAACTGAGAAACCGGAAATTAATTGCAGAGCTTATAGCAAAATGATGGGTGTACGAACAACAATGATGCCTTTCTCTAGTTCAAAGTGACTGCTTATTAACAAAATGTACAAAGAAAAAATTAAAGATTCAGTTCTCTTGTAGTCCGATAGCAAATTCTCATTATAGATGATATTGAAAACAAGATAAAAGACATACTCCATAACTATGTACACATTGTTGGAATCCTCAAAAGCATCATGAAATTTGATGAGATGCTCATGGCCAGATAGAGCTTTTAATATCTTCACCTCTCTCCGAACATCTTCAATTGCTATTGCTGTGGTCATCTGCCAAATAAATCTTATTAAGACTAGAAGAGGTATCAACTATGCAGGTTAAGGAAAAAAAACAATTTAATCATATGATGATATGACCTTTTTTCTTTTTAGAAATATGGAACTTAAGAAAACCGTAAGGTATAAAAAGTAATACTAAAAATAACATTAGTTGAAAATGGAAGTGGGTCTAAGAGGAGGGCTGTGTAGTTAGTTTCAACTGATGATTTCTCCTCTGGTTTCAATTGCAGTAAAATGCAAACTCGGGTTCTTTGGAAAAAAGAGCATTACGAACTTAATTTTTAATAATGACCTAAAACTCTATGTCATGAACCAACTATCCCAAAAGTTTAAACTTTTGGTTTAAAGCACATAAATGATTTTATCTCTAACACACCACCTCAAGCAAAAGGTCTTTAGGTTTAAAACATGGACAATGCACGGCCCATCTATCTTGGGCTGAAACTCAACTTTTTCTATTAGAAGTGTTGAATAATGAAGAAATGAGAATTTGCTGAAATCTGTGTCCAATAGCACAGCGGAGGCTTGATTATATACACTAGTAATAACAATTACATTACAATAATTTAACAATGAGAGACTTCATCTCTCATATTTCCAACACTCCCCCTTAAACTAAAGTTTACTAAGCTTTAAGATTGTTACAAATGAACTCCAAAAGTTAAAAATAACCAACAATATGGGAGACAATGAGGACAGGCTGCATCTGGGACAAGGTCAAATGTGTCAAAATAATGCCAAAACAGAGATTACTGTGAAGAGGTTGGCAGCCAGGAAGAAGCACAACAAACAGACATCGAAGGGGACAATAAGCACTGATGTAGTCAGATCCGAGGACAGACACGCCAGAAGGCAGCAGACACGAACATGGACAAAAGAAGCACAGTCGAAAATCTCGCCGGAAATTTCTTTCTGCAGTGGCAGATAGCAGGACTGCGGGTGGAAGCCACAACGGTTGCCAGAGGGACTTCCTGGATGAAGACACTGGAAACCAGATTGACAATACAGATGGACTACGCGGTTTCCGGAGGCACGAATTTACTAGGAATATACGTATTAATTAATCCGTAAGAGCAGATGAACCACGCATGCAGGTTACCGGAAATTCTAATTCATGCAGAATTCAAGACCATAAAAAATTGGCATCAGACAAGATTCTTAACATCCCACCATAATTTAAAACAAAATAACAGACAGGGGACATGAAAGAAATTAAGCATATTGTACTCCCAGCCACCAACAAAGTGACAAACCCTGCCCCAAATAGAGACAAAATAAGAGAAACTCCATGATATGCCACTACTTGTCCACGTAGAGAGTATGTCATTTCAGAAGCAAAGTAAAGCAACAGGCAAAGGGCAATGTGTTTTCAACACTTGACAGCAACAGGAAGTTACAGATCATAAATTCAAAAAACTCACCACCATAGATTGAATGAGCTGTAACTCAAGAGAACTAAGTATTGCAACACGCCACACATGTAAGACATCTTTAGCTTAGAAGGTATCCAGGATTGAAAACTCAGAATATAGTCATCAGCATCAAACAATATTAAAATTGGATAACCATTTCAACAAGTTTCATACTTATCCTAAACTAACTGTCATCAAACCTTCCATTCAACATAATAGTGATTGTTATAAAAACAACTTAATTCTAGGGGCAATCCATCAAAGAGGTCATTCTTTACCACTCTCGGTTTTCAAAAGCAATTTTTTCAAATATCATTATGTAATGAACTAATTACAAAAAATTACTGTTAATTTCAACCTAGGAAATGAAAAACTAAAATGGCATTGGATAGTACCTTGGCCTTGGAAATGATTTTAACAGCAACAGGTTGATCTTTGAGGTCACCCTTTTTACCCTTGGCATAGCAAGTATGACCAAAATGCCCTTTACCCACTTCCTTCCCAAGCTCATATTTTGCCCCAAAATTCTTGCTATAACCAAAGCTCTTATCCAACACCTGCTCCTCCTCCGGGATCGGCCCCTCCTTCGGCGGCGGATTCAGGTGCCCGAGCCGCTTCGCCAGCGACGCCCTTATATGCTTCGCAGGCGAAGGCGGCGGAAACGGCCGCCGGAAAAACCTCCTCGGCGTCGCCGTGCCTCTCGCCGGCGACGGCGTCACCCCGCCAACGCCACCACCTTGCGGGTAAGGGCTGGGCCAGGGACTCCGAGCCGGCGTGTTCTTCACCGATGGAAACGCGCTCACTGCGGCGGATGACGGCGGGAGGTAGCCGTCTCCGTCACCGGAATCTGCGATTGTGGTGGTGGTGGTGGTGGTGTTTTCATTTTCCGTCGCCGGATTGGCCTTGCCGTAGCACTGACCCATGGGGGAAGGGTTTGTGCGCCGTCACTGTAGCTGATCACACGGGGTGAGTCAAAGTCAGCACATCGGAGGGCGCAGAGGCCTCCACCGGAAACTGGTGGTGGATCTGCCCCGAGAAAACGATAAAAGAAGGGAATTTGTGTCAGAGAGAGAGAGAGAAATTTAGAGAGAGAAAAACAGCAGAGAGTGCGACAGAGACGGAGACAAACACCGAGAAAGCAAAGCAAAGACAAAAAAATTTGTTAGCAGACAAAGGCGTGTGTGAGCGTAACTGTTACAAAAGGTTCAGGGTTTTGTTATCAGCTGCTTCGCCGTGGACCATTTCACTATCCTGAGAACCTCATCCTGGCGTTTGATTTGGCATAATTAAGTGAAAATGTTTGATTGATGCGATCCAGGAAACAATCAGAACCGTTGGTTTTAGTTTCTGGATATGGCGGTGTTGCGTGGGATAGTTTCATGTGTACTTTTCGGTTCATCTTTTACAACTGTTGTTCTCGTTATTTGTAATTTTCAAAAGCGATTAGTGTTTAAAGCAATGTTATTGTACGACGATCCGATTATTGATTTGATTAAAATATTAGTTAATTGTATGATTTGATAAGTACATGTAAATTTATAATTTATATTAAAAAATATATATAATTAAATATTTGTAAAAAGATGATACCAACTTTTTTTTTAATATAAGTAAGAATGAATATATAATCTAATACAACTTATTTAAATCTTTTATTACTAGATCAATTGTAATGGCTTAATCATACTAATTTCAAATATTTTAATATGAAAAATAATAAATTATACATTATTGTCCAATAAAAAATCAATCAAGCACATAATACTTGAGATATCAGTGCTTCAGGTTTGGTAGACGATATCTCTAATTATAAATCAAATCAAAATTTACTACATATTGCATAACCAAGATAATAACTAGTGTTAGGTACATAACCCATGTAACTTAATAAGTAACATACCACTCAAATATTTCAAAAGAAAACAAATAATTTATGTGTGAGAGTGAAAAAAAGAAAGCATCAATCGATGATAACAAACTAATTTTTTCTTTTTAAGAACTGGCAGGGTCACTGGTTAAATCGACTGGGTCCCCGATTTTTACAAAAATCAATCAAATAACACTGATTCTGTTACATGACCGGTCCAATATAAAACTGGACCGATTATATGACCGGTTCACCGATTTTCTGATTGACTTGGCCTCATCGATCCGATTTTTATAACATGGTTTAAAAAATATATAATTGTGTTGTTATTATATTTTATAGTGAGAGGAATAAAAATTATAATTGAGAAAGTGAGAGATTTTTTTAATTTAACTATTAAATAAAAACAATAGTTTTAACCAAAATAATTTTCCTTTGAAAGTATAAATATTTTTCCCATTTTCAAATGGGTAAAACAAGGGTTTATTTTAGTTTTGTTTTTTTGTTTTTTTAAATTTGTAGAAGGACCTATAATGATTATGGTAATGGAAAAGAAGAAGGATTTTAGATTCAATTTAGGCGAAAAGTTTACTCTAGTTTGTTCCCAGTAAGGGAATGTGTAAATAGTAGAGCATGCTCTTGCCGTATCTTAAAATAAGGATATGTTTTTAGGGTTTTATTAATCTCGTGTTAAAGAAAATAAGTTATCTCAAGTTATAAAGATAAATTTGTGAGCTCTATGACTTGAAAAATTAAAAAATAAAAATGTGACACAATTATTAAAAGATATGTAGATCAGATAAATTTTCAATCATAAAGGCTATAAGCTTCGAGCGAATACAGCCAAAACCATTCAGTGTCTTTTTTTCTCATGTTTTTATCTTATAAAAATATTCTTTCCTATACTAACATAAAAAGTCCAGTTGACTTTTATTTAATAAGATGAATCCCGTATTTTATTGTATGGGCTTTAATACTTTTACGGTGTAGATAAATTATTTACATTTATTTACAAAATAACGTTGTTTTAGATTGAAAAATTAAAAAATTATAATAAAAAAAGACTATTATGACCCTGAAATAAATTATAATTATAAAAATATCTTGATTTTCACCTCAAAACGATATCATTTTAGACTCAATATAGATAAATTATTTACATTAAAAATATGAACCCTTAGGGGACATTTGGTACAGGAGAAATTTTTATTTGTCCGAGAATCTCAATTTTCAAAAATATAATTTTTGCGTTCAGTTTATGATAATATCCAAAATTTAAAAATTTAAAAAAATTCAGTTTGCCGAGAATCCCGAAGAAACCAGCATACCAAACACTCCCTTATTGTATATATAGAAATTGTAAGTTTCTCGGGAGAAACTTATAACTCTTTATGATAAGCTGTTATTATTGAAAGCTGTTTATATATTGTGTTAATAAATGTTAATAATTATATATAAGTTATTGTTGCTATTGTAAGTTTTAAAAATTTAACTAAAACTATAAATTTTGTTTATTTTTTTAAAAAAATATATATAAGAACCTAGTAAGGTGCATTGTAATTTAATCAGACAAATACCTTTTCAAATTTAGGTGTAATTAATCAGCATCAGCATTTCGCACCTTTTCCATATATATGATGTATCTTTTGGGAATGAATTTTATCAAATATTGCTGGTTCATTAATATTCAGCATTCCTGAAAAAAGAAACTACCAATTCATGCATGTTAATGTTAGAAAACCTAATTTTTTCTTAAATGGAAGGCATTTGATTCCAAAATTTTCCTCGATTGTTTTAGGGTACCGTTTGTGTCCTCTTTCCACTCTCCTGCAAAAATTATATGATTAGCAAAAAGACAAGCATGAAGGTCCAAAACCAATGTAAGAGTATCAGGATTCAAGGTTAACCCTTGCTATATAACCTAGTATTTTAATATTGTGATTCTAATATATGTGTTTGCAATATAAGCAAAATGAACTCCCCTCTTAAACTCCTTTCTTTTCCAACTTGTGTTACAAAACTTCTTTTCGGGTTAATCAAAATTATGGTTTGCTAGTCAACGTAGATAAATTATATATATTAAGTCCAAAATAACATCATTTTTAGACGAAAATCAAGATATTTTTGTAATTTATAATTTATTTCAGGGTTATATATAATAGTCTTTCTCATTATAATTTTTTAATTTTTCAATCCAAAACGACATCGTTTTGACAGTGAATGTAGATAGGTTATTTACATTCACTATAGAAATGTTAAAATCTATTACAAAAAAAATATATATATTAAAACCTAAAAATTATGCGTGAAATTTTGTTAGAAAGATTTAAATTAACTATTATTTACAATAAATACAAACGAAATATTATTAGCCCATCATTGTTGTTGTTAAAATTAATGAGAATAGATTCTCTCATATAACAAAGATCATGTGAACTGTTTAATACAAATCAATAATTTTTTTCACCATTTCTCTTAATATATTATTTCATTACTATTAATTTATTATTAAATAATGGAAATTCTCTCGCATGATGTCATATATTTCAGAGTAGAGTAGGTATGGTTTCTTTATCACCAACTGCCTCACAGCTGAACTTCAACTTATTTGTTGACCAAAAGACTATTTTCAAAATGAAAAGAAAATAGAACAAAAAAAATATGACGCTTGAAAACCAAAAGGAGGAAGCCTTTGGTGACCAAAGAAGTTGGTGTTTCATTGCCATGACTTGAATGAATACAAAAGGGTGTGGGGAAGCTGCAAATTAAATATGCCAACTTACCATTAATTCAGGCCCTAACTAATTCACTTGGTATATAAGCATTAATTGATTACAGTTCAATAAATAAGAGGAAAATGGGAAGTTAAAATAGTGTAATAACCTACTTGAAATAATAACTGCCAAGTGTACTTGAGAGTCATGAACTCATATCTAGGTTTAAACAAACTGTCAGCTCTCGTCTTCAAAAAAAATGATTCAAGCAAGTGTGGTGGCTCAGTTGGTAACATGGGGACTGAGTGGTAGAAGAGGACCTCGGTTCGAATCCCACCAACATCATCTGAGGAGGGGCATAAGTACCGTAATCCTTGGACTCGCACCCGAACTCTGGATTAGTCTCATAGATGACTCAAAGAGTCGAACCCGTGAGAATACCGGAGAATTCTGATTTGCCTCAAAGAGGTAATTAGGATCAGTTTCTAAACAAAAAAAATATTTCATTCTTTAAAAAGATACAAGTTTAAATATAATTTAATAAATAGACCATTGGATCAAGACTTGCTCCATCCTACTATCTTCTTAGAACTATAGAGGACTGGACCCCAAATCCGTTAGGCACGGGTATTGAATCCATTAATGGTGAGAGGAGATGCAAAAGAGTACATATTTATTATGGTTAAAACTTTTAAATTTAAATTTATTATGATCGATGGTATGGCTATGTGGGCGTCTTCTTTAATGGTGAGAGGATATGCAAAAGAGTACATATTTTGTTGTGCGAATTCTTGTTGAAACTGTGTGGAGTGAAGATAGTGATTAGTGAGTGGTCACCAGCAAACTTAATAAAGGACGCAGAATTGAGTGATTGCCACGTGGGGGTTGCTTGGCTGAGAAAAATGTGCCATAAAAGGCTAATTGTGACTCGTTAGACCTACCCACATGGGTTGCATTTAGGAGGATAATGTTATGTGAATAACTCTTCAAAAATATTTAAAATATATAGAGCCGTTTGATTGATATAAATTTGTGTAAGAAAATTTTATTGTAACATTGCACTGATCCAAAAGCAAAAGCCATTTTAATGATCCGAAAATCTGCGTGAATTGTTTTTATGTGTAACGTATTATTAATATATAATTGTAGTATGCTTAATTAATGATCTCTCTTGTGTTGCTTTTATACTAAAAATACTAATAGAAGTATAGAACACATATCTTAATTCCTTTTCTTCAAGGTACAGTACCTTACGAACAAGAAATAAAAATAGTGTAATTATTTATAACAGTCAACTATTATCACCATAATTTCAATTTTTTGTTGTGACTAAACCATTCCTAAATCAATCTTAAATGATGATATGACATCTAACGTTGGATTAGGAGATGCAACCATCACACGAGCATCAAGAACAATGGGATTTTCGTTGTCATAAAACATACAGGAGCAACATGAATCAGCTCCATTTCATAGTAAAGACGATAAGTTTATTTGAAACCCTTGTTGTTCCAAAGAGTAGGGTTGACAACTGTGGCACAAATGTCTGAGACCTATTTAACCTGTTGTTCAACACTGTGTGTCTGCGTTAGGCTCATTCCATATCATTGCATAACCCATCCCATAAAGATCC